TGCTGTTCGGTATAATGGCATCCAATCAGCCTCATTATCTGTACCATAAATTAACCTGGAGGCAAAACTGTTACCAATACGCGATACGATTAAATGTCAATACACTTAAAATTCCAGGTCATAATACAGCTGCATTTAGGGGAAGTTTTAAATATGCCGCCACTCACTGCTGGAATAACATACCACCACCTATTCAAGATCTAAAATCAATTCACACTTTTAAACGACACCTAAAAAAATACTTCATGCAGGTACAAAAATCAATCTAGGCAAAAATACATTACCAATTTATATATCTGTATCTTTATATACCCTCTCCTGTATATCTTTTATTTGACTGTATTTATATCTATTATCGCCTTGTCATTTGTGTACTATCTCTATTTTAGCTAAATGTGTATTTATGTATATTAATTTATATCAATTTATTATATATTAAGTATTGTATCATATCATAAATCGTGTACAACACGGCAATACACCACCCCAGGTCTTGTGCTGAAAAACAGCGTTGCAGCGCTCCAGCCGCTGCAGCATTATGCTGAGCACGGACCTATTCAGTGGATGCTTCGACAGACATACACATGCACGCACACGCGCACACACGTAATCTGTGTACTGTTATTTGTATGTAATTGTTCGCACTATTTGTTATTCTATTTTTTGTTTGTTTAATGTGTGTTTTAGTTTTCTACTGAATAAATATCATTTCATTTCATTTCATTTCATTTCATTTCAAATAGATTAAACATACATTCCATGAAATATTGACAGAACCAGTTTCAGATGCAGCCAAGTTGTGGATGGTATCATATTAGTTTAAGTTTTTTAAATAGATTTATAGTTTACTAGCTTTTGCCCACGGCTTCGCTCGCGTTAATTTATCCCCTTAGGGGTGGAATTTTTCAAAATCCTTTCTTAGGGGACGCCTACGTCATAGTAGCTTTATGCATGCAAATTCTACCCCCAAGGGGATAAAATAGGGGATGAAAGTTTGTATGAAACTTTGTCAGATGAAAGTTTCATACAAACTTTCATCCCCTATTTTATCCCCTTGGGGGTAGAATTAATCGAAATCCTTCCTTAGCGGATGTTATGACGTAGGCACGTCATAACATCTACCTGCATGGCAAATTTCAGCCCGATCCGTCCAGTGGTTTGGGCTGTGCGTTGATAGATCACTATGTCAGTCAGTCACCTTTGAGTTATATATATTTAGATTTTTGTTATTTACTATAGGTACAATGGGAATATCATCGTCACATTTTGTGTACAAAAATCACAAAAAAAAAATAAGAGAAATTCAAATTAAAAAATCATTTATTCATGTAGGACATATTAGCCGCTTATGAACGTCAAATTTTTTACATTATAATTTTAATTTTTTCTACCGTCCAGTTCAGTATATGGATCCAATTGAGAAGAACTGGCAAGAAACTCAATTTAATATTTTATTTTATTTTTTTAAGTCAGTTTAGTTTCTCACCTTAGGGATAGAATTAATCAAAATCCTTTCTTAGCGGATACCTATGTTTTTAACATCTACCTGCATGTCAAATTTCAGCCCGATCCGTCCAGTGGTTTAGGCTGTGTGTTGATAGATCACTATGTCAGTCACCTTTGTGTTATATATATTTAGATATATAAGTGTCTATGTCTAACATTAAATGAAAATCCAGTGCATGAACAACTATTGCCATGCACGCTCGTCATTCAAGTAATCGTTTAGTGCGTAATAGGCTTTGCTCAGTAAATATGATTTAACAGATGTTTTGAATTTATTTAAGGGTAATTCCAGTATATCATTTGGTATCTTATTGTAAATTTTTATACCTATTCCTATAAAAGACCTATTGACTTTTTCTAAACGATACTAGGGGACAGCAAGTTTGTCTTTAAATCTAGTATTAATATTACGAAAAAAAAATTTTTTGTATAAACTTCATATAACTCGCCAAAACTACAATATCCATTAATAGTATGTGCTCGTAATACTATGTTATCTGTGGTTACTAGCAACGACCTGACCTTAGGTTCATCTTATCATCCTCCACTGGTGTCTCGCCAGAGCAAACCGTTAGCGCAGGCGGGTGCACCGTCCTGTATACATTCATACATATAAAAAGAATTGTGTGCGAGTGTCTGTTTTTTTTTATACCACTTAGGTGGCAAACAAGCATACGGCCCATCTGATGGTAAACGGTTATCGTAGCCAATAGACGCCTGAAACACCAGGGGTGTCACATACGCGTTGCCGACCCTTAAGAAACCTTAATATACCCTTCTTGAAAAACCCCATGCTGTAGTCTCTCGAGAAAACCTCGGCAGGTATTTCATTCCACAATCTAAGTGTACGCGGGAGGAAGCTCCTCTGAAATCGCACTGTCCGAGACCACTTAGGTTCCAGCGTGTGGGGATGAATTCCCTGTCGATGGCGAGCGGTGCGATGGTAAAAGGTAGCCGTAGGCATCATGTCAAACAATTCATCAGAACAGTCCGTTGTATATTTGGTAGAACACACAAAGCGATCTGTTTGTAATATTGAAATATCCGTTTCTTAGATAAATAAATTCTTTATTCACAATTACAGACACATAACATACATGAGATACAGAAAAAACACGAATTACTAAAAGAAATGTAGGTGACTTTATGTGCCGCAAAAGTGAAAAGGCAGCCAACTCAGCATAATGCTACAGATAACTCTGCAGCGCTGATATTCTGTTGGCTCCTTACTTATACTATACTTATTACTAGAAAATTACATAAATATTAAACTTCGAACTCATCAAAATATATAAAGTATGAATAAACTGTAAATAACGTGATTAATTATGTTATTACACTACATAAGTAGTGTAATATCCATTACTAACAAACTATAGACAAAAATTGAAAAAAAAAATTATTTTGGTGTATGTACCGTATTTATATTCATATGCTTGTAGTTGTAAAATCGTAATCCTAATTTATATTATCAATTTTTGTCTATCTGTTTGTTTGTTCCGGCTAATCTCTGAAATGGCTGGACCGATTTTAACGGAACTTTTATTGGCAGGTAGGTGATGTAATAAGGAGTAACTTAGAGTACTTTTTTTAGAAAAATAAAGATAAATTTCACGCGGACGTAGTCGAGGGAACTGCTAGTAATATTAACAAGGATAGACGTCGTTATCTTGTTATAAACTATAGATACATGTTATCAGTAAGGATTACATTATTGTAGCCAGGGGCGGATTGCGAATTTGTGGGGCCCTGGGCTAAATCTACTTAAGGGCCTACCTAATTATATTACTCAACTAAAAAAATACACCGACCAAAAACAAGTGACCAGAAATTCCCCGTTCCTTTCTGCGTCTATAGAAAGGAAATCTATAGAAAAAAAAAGGCATTCGCATGGGTTGATTGATCTCAGGGTTGCCAACCTTATGATAGATTTTTTAACATTCTAGATATTTTTTTATATTCTAAATATCGTTTCAGTGGGGACTGGGGGCCTTTGTATCCTCGGGGCCCTGGGCTGCAGCCCAAAAAGCCCTTAGGTAGATCCGCCCCTGATTGTAGATACAATAACATATCAAAAAGTTTATAAATCAGAGATATGAGATGTACATATATATATCTATCTATCTAATCTACATTTTTTCACCAGTTGGGTGTGTTTCTCCAAAGGATAACAAGACTACGATTGATTACGAACATCAGGTTACCGGCCACGTAAGGGGAGATTACATCATCCAATCCATATTCGTTAAATAATTATGAAATGGTGCATTCATATGCATTAACAGTATACTCTGTTAGGGAAGGATACCGGCTACTCGAATCAATAGTCCAATAGACTATTGCTATTGAGTAAAAAGAATATATGCGAGAGCGAGGAATCGAACCCGCGACCATAGGAAGTAAGACAGTGGGCTAAACCGCTAAACCACCGAGGACTTCGTCGAAATTTCTTATAAAACGAAAAAATAAGATGTTTTTGAAGCTTAATGATTTCAACTTGTTTATGTATTCATTACGTCAGCACTGCGCTTGTCAGGTCAGTTTTTTCTTCTCAGGACAATTCACACAGCGCCATCTAAACCCAAGTTAAGCTAGCTAAAGCTTGTGTTATGGTTACTAGACAACTGATACATAGATATATATTTTTTCGTAAATACATACATATTATACATAGAAAACACCCAGACCGATACAAACAATCATACTCATGAATACAAAGGTTTGTGCAATGCGAGGAATCGAACACACGACCATCGGAAGTAAGGCGTTGTGCTACACCGCTAGATCATTGAGGCCGTCATTATAATTCAAGATGTTCATAAATACAAATTCAGATTCAAAATATCTTTATTCATGTAGGTCTATTACAGACTCTTATGATATGTCAAATCTACCGTCAGTTCCGAATGATATCGAGATGAGAAGAACTGACAAGAAACTCAGCTCGTATTCTTTTCAAATAAATGTCATGACTGTAGCAGATTGGACTATGTAATTACCGCCTAATCGTCGTCATATATACAGCAACTAGCTTTTGCCCGCGGCTTCGCTCGCGTTAATTTATCCCCTTAGGGGTGGAATTTATCAAAATCCTTTCTTAGGGGATGCCTACGTCATAGTAGCTTTATGCATGCAAAGTCACAACCCGATCGGTTTAAAATTGACAAAGTTTCATACAAACTTTCATCCCCTATTTTATCCCCTTGGGGGTAGAATTAATCAAAATCCTTTCTTAGCGGATGCCTACGTCATAACATCTATCTGCATGCCAAATTTCAGCCCTTCGACGGCGGCTCCGTCCAGTGGTTTGGGCTGTGCGTTGATAGATCACTATGTCAGTCACCTTTGAGTTATATAAATATGGATATATGTAAAGAGTATAAATATATATTATCTATGTGTTATAAGACGTTATATACCTCCAGCGGCAAATCTGTAGCCGATGTATATGTATAAATAATAATAAGTGTATAATACACGGATTATTTACAAAGATGATCGCCTCAGTGATAGTGCTGTGTTTAGTTGGTTGTGTGTTTGCAATAGTGACAGCTCGCGACATTACCGGTACGTAGTTACTTTTAAACTTCCGTGTTTAATATACATTATTTAAATTATTAACCGGGTCTTATCCGGGTATTTCATTTGCCATAAAATATTCGTGTTAAGTCAGTCAGCTCGTGACCACGGCTAGTGCAACCTAGTCGACGCGTCGAGAGAGGTAAATACCTTTATTTGCCATAAAATATTCGTGTTAAGACCCGGTTAATAATTTAAATAATTCGCGTGAAATTTATAGCCTATATGATATTCTGATTTATAAGCTATATCAAAACATCTGTTAAATCATATTTACTGAGCAAAGACTCTTACTTGAATGACGAGCGTGCACGGCAATAGTTGTTCATGAACGGGATTTTCATTTAATGTTAGACATAGACACCTATATACATAAATATACTAGCTGTCCCGGCAAAGGTTGTTTTGCCATATAAATTAATAACGCTATAAAAAAATAGGGGTTGATGATAGAAGGGTGAAAATTTAGGATTGTATGTATTTTTGGATGTTGTATCATAAAAAAATAGAAACTAAAAATTTTGTCTAAAAAATAAAATTTAGGGGAGGACTACCCCTAACATTTAGGGGGATGAAAAATAGATGTTGGCCGATTCTCAGACCTACTCAATACGCTCACGAAATTTCATGAGAATCGATCAAGTCGTTTCGGAGGAGTATGGGAACGAAAACTGTGACACGAGAATTTTATACCTATATAAGTTATTGTAAATAAACTGGCTTTAAAAAAAATCGATTGATTTTCTTGCCAGTTCTTTTCAATTGGATCTATATGTTTTTTTTTATTGGGTTGTTTGGGCTATTGTCAAATGTTTGTAGCACCTGTAGCACTGCGACCTACATAGATCTATTGTGCTCGTCCTTTTTCAAAGTTCGCTACCTAGACCCGTCAGGGACAAGAATTTAATCTATATGTATACTGAACTGAATGGTAGGGAAAACATTATAATAAAAAAAAACATTCATAAGCTGCTAAAATGTCCTACATGAATAAATGCTTTTTGAATTTGAATTTGAATTGGAATTACTGTAAAGTTTCATCAAAATCAGTTCAGTAGTTTTAGCGTGAAAGAGTAACAAATATCCACACTCGCAATCTTTCGCGGTTATAATATTATTAAGATTTCAGGCAACTAGGCCTGAAACAACTATTATAAATAACTTTTAGGCTAACATATATATAAATTAATATTATAATACTAATATATCTAAATATATATAAATCAAAGGTGACTGACGTAGTGATCTATCAACGCACAGCACAAACCATAAATCATCATAATCTCAGCCCGGAAGACGTCCACTGCTGGACATAGGCCTCCCCCAAAGATCTCCGCGACGATCGGTCTTGCGCTGCTCGCATCCAATGCCTTCCAGCGATCTTAACCAGATCGTCGGCCCACCTTGCTGGAGGCCTTCCCACGCTGCGTCTTCCGGTCCGTGGTCGTCACTCGAGGACTTTATTGTCTCAACGGCCATTTGTTCTACGACCTATGTGCCCTGCCCATTGCCACTTCAGTAATAATAATAATAATCTCAGGACAATTCACACAGCGCCATCTAAACCCAAGTTAAGCTAGCTAAAGCTTTTGTTATGGGTACTAGATAACTGATACAAATACATAGATATTTTTTTTCGTAAATACATACATAGAAAATACCCAGACAGATACAAACAATCATACTCATGAATACAAATGTTTGTGCCGTGCGAGGAATCGAACCCGCGACCATCGGACGTAAAGCGGTGTGCTAGACCGCTAGACCACCGAGGTCGTCAAACTTCAGTGTCGCAATTCTTCGGGCTATGTCGGTTCGTCTGGATCTTCTGCGGATCACCTCATTTCTGAATCGATCACGCAGAGAAACTCCGAGCATAGCCCTCTCCATTGCCCTCTGAGTGACTCTGAGCTTGTTCATGAGGCCCATAGTTAGCGACCACGTCTCTGTGCCGTAAGTCATTACTGGCAATACACATTGGTCGTAAACCTTCGTCTTGAGACTCTGCGGAAATTTGGACGAAAAGATATATCGGAGCTTCCCGAACGCTGCCCATCCGAGTTGGATTCGACGATTGACCTCTTTCTCGAAGTTGGATCTACGTAGCTGGATAGTTTGCCCTAAGTATACGTAGTGATCGACAATTTCGAGTGTAGAATCACCGATTTTTACGGGAGCAGGTACGACATGGACGTTTGACCTGATTTTCGCCTTGGGGGCCGTTCAAGTATTACGTAAGCACTATTTGGGGGGGGGGGGGGGGGGGGGGGGGTCTTTGCTTTGCTTATTTTGGATGACATGGGGGGTGGGGGGAGTCTAGATGATGATTACGTCATCGGTAATTATTTACTTTTTTACGCAAATGTCAACCCTCACATCGTCTTTGCTAAAAAAAAAAACAATACATTAATTGAAAAATGTTTACGTAAGCATGGGGGGAGGGGGTAAGAGCTTTGCTTACTTTTGCTGACAAAGGGGATGGGGGTAAATAATTGTAATAAATTTGCTTACGTAATACTTGAACGGCCCCTTGTCCATTCATTTTAAGACCTACTCCTTGCGAGACTCTACTGAGGTCTTCGAGCATTTTGCTAAGGTCTTCCAGGGTCTCAGCCATGACCACGATATCGTCGGCAAATCGAAGGTGATTGATGTACTCGCCGTTAATGTTGATGCCCAGCCCGCTCATAAACTGAAAAAATCTAAAAAAATAAAAAAGTCTATTTTGATACAACAACCAAATATTTATTAATACCTATACTTAATTAATTTTGTGTTAATGCGTTTTATATAAACACCCACACATTATTTCTGAATAACCCAAAAAAATGGGTAATTAATATCAATTTCCGATAGTGCCAAGCAAAAATCTGGCAACATCGGTAACGTCAAATTTGTTTCCGGGATTAAAAAAACAATATAATAATTACAAGAATAGTCAAGTTGATTATTATTATAATGATACCATCAGGAATGATAATTATGAAGTAATTATCTGTACATATTACTCCGTATGTAACTCAGGTCAAAGGAGTTATGTCGAATAGGTCAATCCACTCAAATTAAATTTATTCATGTAGGTACGGTAGAGTTGCCTTCCTGTTTTCCCAGTACATGTCCTAGTTTTTGTAGTGTCCTGGGGTGTCCTGGATAGTTTTTAAGCAGCATCCTGGGTAACGCCCTGATAAGATCATGTATTTTCATAATTCGCGCGCCATTTTTACAACGCCTGCTCGAATTGTAGAGTTTTTTTTTTTAATATTTTTAAGTATTAAGTACTGATTATTAGTATTACTTGAATTTTATTAATTTAGCCTATTGACATTATATATTAATATAATTATAACAAGTATATTACAGAGTCCTGGTTTTAAACTAAATTGTCCTGGTTTTGCCAACTCCAAATCCTTTACACACAATATCGCGCATTCAGCCGGGCGCCTGCGAGCGCCCGGGCGCTCCACACCGGCGCCCCCGAGCGCCCCTCCGATCGATCCCCCGTCCAACTCAAACGGGGATCGAAATTACGACGGCCTGAGCCGAGGTTCGAACCCCTAGTGGTGCCCTCAGACTAAAGTCGTATCAGTCAGGCGGGAGTTGGCCTTCAGCCGCTCCATAAGTCCTTCCGCGGGTTTGGAGTGCCATCTGCACTCGCCCCCTAACGTCCGGTGAAGCTGTAAAGGCCAGCTGCGGCCAACAGCATTAGAGTAGTCCGAAAAATAAAAAAATAAAAATCCAAATCCTAGTTTTTTATGGCACTGTGTGAATTTTCCTGTGTTACTATTATTAAGTAACATTATGTTATCTGTGCTTTTATGCAATTAAGATGACACACGGGCGAAGTCGCGGGCACCATTAGTTAAATAATAGCTTAGACTTCTGACCTCTTTGTTAGATAATATTGTAACTTAATTGGAGTAATGTAAATACTTAGAAATATGTTAGTTTCATGTTTACTCGTAACTATCGATAAACTGATGTTATATGTTAACATAATATAACATATATAAACAAACATACCGTGAAAATGTATACGTGTTTGTTATTGATTAAGTAAAATCAACATTTCGTCGGTTAAATAGAAAAATGGCAGTATTCATAATGTACATTTTTTACAAACCAAGCATTTAAAGATTTTAAATTTCTTTAAATTATTTTTAATTTAAAGTTTCAAATTTACACAGATGTATTATATATCATTTTAAAAGTATTTAGATAATAGAATAGAAAATCATTTATTCAAATAAAATTAATTTAAGCACTTTTGAATAGTCATAACAATTTTTTTTTAATTTACCGCTCATCCGGAATCTTGTGATGAGCACAAGAAGAACGAGTAAGAAACTTGTGTGTTGCTCTTTTAAATAATCCTTGTAAGTTTACATTTTACAAGTCAAAACGTGTGAATACAAACTACTAACCAGTACTAATTTTTTGGGTCAAATATAAATATACAATAAGATTAAATCAGTCGTAGTGATAAGAGCAGACCAGTCCCTACAAGCAGCACTCGTTCACGAGTATGACGGATGAGCCAGCCATCACTGCGCTCGATATTTTAGGGAGCCCAATGATTAATAAGACGGCGTGGTTCATTTAATTGACTTATATAAAAGGAGGCAATTCTAGCTTCTAATTTTGTAAAATGACATTTTTCTATTCGACGATTTAATAGGTGTGATAGCCAGATTCATTACTACTTAGGAGGAAATAAATACTGTCTGTCCATTACTGTTTGTTGCTGCGCAACCAAATAGATAACCCCGCAGTTGTAGAACGTATAGGATTTAATATTCCACCGAATTACGTGAGAAGTGTCACACGTCGTCGTGTCCGACTGTATGCAACTGCAGCGGTGCGCACAAGCCCACTATTGCAATTATGCCTAATTTACACTCAGCCCGAGTGGGCAGGGAAGTGAGCAGCGCGAGCGTGTAAACACGATACTTCCCATGCCAATCGGTTTTTCGTGCGCGAGTCAAAGGACTGACAGCGCGAGTGGCAGCGTGTTTTTACATTCAGCCCTCTCGCTCAGTTGTCGCCCGGCAATATTTCCGGCAGCGCGAGTGGCAGGGGAAGCGGCTGAATGTAAACGTAGTATAATGCTACGTTTACATTCATTTCAATTCATTTTTAGGTAAGATCCAAGATGCTAACGTATACACAGAAGCCTTGCTTTCCATAATAAATAAAATAAAAATATCTTTGTCATTATATAGTTTATTAGCTACTTGCCCCGGCTTTGTACGGGTGTACATGTCTTATATATATATATATAAACTATCCTCTTGAATCACTCTATCTATTAAAAAATACCGCTTCAAAATCCGTTGTATAGTTTTAAATATTTAAGCAGGGACGGACGGACAGACACAGCGACTTTGTTTTATACTATGTAATGATTATTATTATCCTAATTTTATTTTATTTATTTATTTTTATTTATTTATTTAATCCTTCATCAGTGTACAGTTTGATGCAGTCCTGACTCCTAAACTAGCGTGAACAGTATATCTGGAGTCAATTCCTTCCCAAAACAAGGATAACAGTTTTAATTAATTTACATGCAGACATAAACCTAAATAATTTTTTATACAATTTAGCCAGTGTGTGTGTGTGTGTGTTGTTTTATATATTTTCACAGCTATTATTATTATTATATATTTATTTTCTTTTCTATTCTTTTATCTTACTTAAAAGGTGATAATCACTCACACGAGCCTTAGCCAAGTGTGGGAAGGGTGCTATGTGAAGATGTTATTATTGTCGAAGCCAGAAATTTTCTTTTATTGTGACGGGTATTGAGTATTGTGGGTTTTTTTAAGAGTTATTATTGTTACTAGCTTTTGCCCGCGGCTTCGCTTGCGTTAATTTGTCTCTTTAGCGGTGGAATTTATCAAAATCCTTTCTTAGGGAGTGCTTACGTCATAGTAGCTTTATGCATGAAAAGTCTCAGTCCGATCGGTTTAAAATTGACAAAGTTTTATACAAACTTTCATCCCCTATTTTATCCCCTTGGGGGTAGAATTAATCAAAATCCTTTCTTAGCGGATGCCTACGTCATAACATCTACCTGCATGCAAAATTTCAGCCCGATCCGTCCAGTGGTTTGGGCTGTGCGTTTATAGATCACTATGTCAGTCACCTTTGAGTTAAATATATTTAGATATATAGATAATGGTTAACACAAACCATCAGGTGGTTTGCCATTTAGTTTTTTTTTTTAGAAATATGTTGTTTCTTCAACAGATGAGGAGTACTACAATCTACCACCACTGTTTCACCTTGACCGTTACGATGCGTGCCTCTCGCAGGCCGACGGTCTCTACTGCCTGGGCACCTTCCACCTCACTTCTGATGAAGAAAACCCAACTTTTCAACTTATGCAGGTAGGTATATATATTGATGTGCAGACTTTCCAAATTCACAATAAAAAAAATTAGGACTACTCTAATGCTGTTGGCCGCAGCTGGCCTTACAGCTTCCCGGACGATAGGGGGCGAGTGTATGTATTTATATCAGTTATCTAGTACCTATAATACAAGCTCTGGATTAGAGGACGCTGTGTAAATTCCTTTCGTATCTATTGAAATAGAAATAATCTTTATTCAAATAAACTCATTACAAGCACTGTTGAATAGTCATATTTTGATTCTACCACTCATTCGGAATGCAGATTCATCAAGAAGAATGAGCAAGAAACTTGTGTGCTGCTCTTTTGAATAGATGTTTTTTTATATATATAAATAATTACAGGATAACAAGTAAGAGGCATGCGATAATCAACATAGAACCGCTACGCACTCTCTATTAGTGTTCTGGAACAGCGGATTTTCGGGAATAATAAAATTAAAAACTTCTATATTTTAACTTAATAAAACTACTAAATTGTATGTAGAAACAACTAAGAGTATAATATTTGCCTTAAAAAAATAGTAGGCGCTTCGACTTCACAACAATTAGTGTAATCAGATAATATTGTCAGTGCAATGCATTTTTAGTTTTTCTATAAATTTTTGGGGAAATCCAATTTGATGGTACGGGGAATCCATTTGAATAAGATTCCCCGTCCAATTCAAATGGGAATACGAAATTACGACGGCCTGAGCCGAGGTTCGAACCCCTAGCGGTGCCCTCAGACTAAAGTCGTATCCGTCAGGCGGGAGTTGGCCTTCAGCCGCTCCATAAGTCCTTCCTTTGGTTTGGAGTGTCATCTGCACTCGCCCCCTATGGCCCCCTGCAGCCAACAGCATACGATTAAAAAGCTGTGTATTGTCCTGAGAAGGTATTATTATTCTCATTAGAGTATTTTTTTATGAATATATACCATATATATATATATATACCATAACCTTTATGGTATTCTGGTATTTCTCTCATGGTTTTCATTCCCGATGACTCATACTTCGATACCGTCTAATCTATACATCTATTCATATAAATAAAATTGGAGTGTCTGTTTGTAATATTGAAATAACCGTTTTTTACTACATGCATATGAATATAAATACAGTACATACACCAAAATAATATTTTTTACAATTTTTTCTGTCTGTCTGTTTGCTCCGGCTAATCTCTGAAATGACTGGACCGATTTTGACGGGACTTTTATTGGCAGGTAGCTGATGTGGAAAGGAGTAACTTAGGCTACTTTTATTTTAGAAAATTAAAGGTAATTTCCACGCGGACGAAGTCACGAGTACAGTTCGGTAATAACATTGTTTCCAGGAGTATTCATCAGATAGCAACCACTACAATCACACGCAACTCCACCGCGGGTACTGCATCAGCAGACGCTGCCCGCAGACCGCTTCAGAAAAGAATACCTCGTACCGCTTCGAACTCTGCGTCCAGAAGTGGGCGGATACCCACTCTCTCCACTCGCAGCTGTACCACCTCCAGTACTGCCATACTCACGAGGATATCAGCGAAGCAAATACCCTGCAGCCTGATACCCTGCAGTTGGTCTTCGCAGCGGTAGTTGGGCTGATCTTGTTGATGAATGTTGTAGGAACCGTGTATGATCTGATGGTCAAGGATGAATCAAAAAGTGAGTATATATAATAATACAGCATAAGAAATATATTGGAAAATCCAAGTATATATAATAATAATAATAATCTCAGGACAATTCACACAGCGCCATCTGGACCCAAGTTAAGCTAGCTAAAGCTTATCCTATGGATACTAGGCGACTGATACAAATACATAGATATATTTTTCTCGTAAATACATACATATTATACATAAAAAATCACCTAGACAATCATACTCATGAATACAAAAGTATGTGCCGTGCGAAGAATCGAACTCGCGACCATCGGAAATAAGGCGGTATGCTAAACCGCTAGACCGCAAGGACGTCCGGTCATCGTCGTTATGACCTAATCATGAAGAACAAACATTAAAAAAATACAGTAGTATTGAGAACCTCCTCCTTTTCTACAATCGGTTAAAAAGTATTAGCATTTTCTATTTAAACTCGTACATTTTATAAACAATTTTGTATAAGTGTGTAAGTAGTGAATTAATTTATTCCAGAATCGAAGGCACTGTCCGCGTGGTCGGCTGCTTCAAATTGGCGGCGCTTGTTGAGTAATCGTGTTGCGGCAGACCCGGCGCGTGCTGCTCTACTACCGCTGGAAGGCGCAAGGTAACCTTAGGTAGCATCATCATCATCACCATCATCACCATAGTGAATATTAACGTGGATGGATGGAAAGTAGATGGATGAAAAAAAGATGGATCGATTGTGTGAAAGATGATATGAATAAAAGAGGTATCAGCTTACATATGACGGCAGATAGAGATCAGAGGAAGAGAATGACATACTGACCACAAATAATGGGATAAAGCTAAGTCAATGACGACATTCTGCTCATTATTGACTTTCTTTATACTCTACCACAAGTTTCTTTTATAGATGATTAGGTATGGTACGATATACCCGCCTGCGCTAATGGTTTACGCTGGCGGGGCACCAGTGGAGGATGACAAGATGAGCCTGAGGTCAGGCCAGTTAGCCCATCGTAACAACTTCACCAAGAATTTATCACGATGCTTTCCAGGGGAATCGCGTAGGGCAACCTGATATGGCACATTGCTAGCAATGGGGTCATCAGTCCACATTACTAATAATTCGCTTTCCCCCCAAATAGATGACTTTTTTATGGATGATATTGGAATGGTGCACCCGCCTGCGCTAACGGTTTACGCTGGCGGGGAACCAGTGGAGGATGATAAGATAAGTCAGGTCAGGTCAGTTAGCCCATCGTGACAAATTCACCAGGAATTTGTCACGATAGCACAATGTGGTTGTGCGTGGAAAAAAAATTATATAAAATCGCACTGTGGAGGACCAGCTTGCATACAGGTGATCAGGATGATGTTTTAATTCGTGGTGGTTAGTGCGATGGTAAAACTCAGCAGCTGGTATTAATCCGTACAATTCCTCAGAACACTCCCCGTGATATATGCGGTAGAAAATGCACAGAGATGCAATATCTCGCCGCAAAGCCAATGGGTCGAGTCTGTCACATAGACGTTGATTACCAATGATTCTGGCTGCTCGGTTCTGAATGCGGTAAAATGGAAGTAGCTGGTATTGTGGTGCTCCCGCCCAGAGATGAGAACAGTGTTCCATATGCGGCCGGATCTGCGCCTTGTATAAGAAATACCGTCTCACTCTACTGAGCACACCAAGCTTTTTTGAGGCTATTTTACCCTACAATTCCTCAGAATACTCACTGAGATATATGCGGTAGAAAATACACAGAGATGTAAGGTCAAGCCGCAAAGCCTAAAGGTCTTACAATTGGTTTTTTATGTGATCGCGTGGATGATAAATAGCATCATCTATTCTTAAATAATCATCATCATTTTGACTTTAATCCGTGATGAATTTTGCAGGGTGGTGATGCTGGTTCTGGTGATCGTGGTACATACAGGCTTTATTTATTATACGCTATACCCGTACAGTCCTCGGGCCGCAGAGCAGGTGATTTTTATTATATTACAATAACATTTATTTCGGAAAACTTAAGTACCATTTTCTCGGTGGTCTAGCGGTTGAGCACACCGCTTTACGACCGATGGTCACGGGTTCGATGCCTCGCACGGTACAAAGATTTGTAATCATGAGTATAATTGTTTGTATCGGTCTGGGTGTTTTCTATATATAATATGTATTTACGAAAAAAAATATCTATGTATTTGTATCAGTTATCTAGTATCCATAACACAAGCTTTAGTTAGCTTAACTTGGGTCTAGATGGCGCTGTGTGAATTGTCCTGAATTATTATTATATTATTATTGTCTACACATATAAATAAAATTGGAGTGTCTGTTTGTAATATTGAAATAACCGTTCTTTACTACATGCATATGAATATAAATATGGTACATACACTAAAATAACATTTTTTACAATTTTTGTCTGTCTGTTTGTTCCGGCTAATCTCTGAAATGCCTGGACCGATTTGGACGGGACTTTTATTGGCAGATGATGTAATAAGGAGTAATTTATGCTACTTTAATTTTAGAAAAATAAAGTTAAATCCACGCGGACGAAGTCGTAGGTACAGCTAGTTATTATATGTATAATTATAATTACGAGATTGTTAGTTGGTATAATAATTGTATTCTCGTTTCCAGTTGATGCAGCATCCACTAGTGGCGGTCCTGAAGAGCGGCACAGCAATGGTGCAGTGTTTCGTGGTGCTCACCAGTTTCCTGTTCGGATATAACATTCTGTTGTACTCAAAATCTGAAGCCATCACGTTTAAGATGCTACCCAAGTGTATCTTTTACAGACTTATCAGGTGAATACTAATCTAAAGAAAGAAAGACTAATCAGATTATAAACGACGACCGACGTAGCCCGAAGAATTGCGACACTGTAGTGGCAATGGGCAGGGCACATAGCTCGTAGGACAGATGGCCGTCGGGGCAATAAAGTCCTCGAGTAGCGACCACGGACCGGAAGACGCAGCGTGGGAAGGCCTCCAGCAAGGTGGACCGACGATCTGGTCAAGATCGCTGGAAGGCATTGGATGCGAGCAGCGCAGGACCGATCGTCGTGGAGATCATTGGGGGAGGCCTATGTCTAGCAGTGGACGTCTTTCCAGGCTGAGATGATGATGATGATGATGAATATTATAAGCGCGAAAGTTTGTAAGTATGGATGTTTGTTACTCTTTCACGGAAAAACTACTGAACGGATTTTGATAAAATATTAGTTGTATAAAGTCGAGGTTCTGGAGATCAGGAGCGTTGTACTTATTGAATGAAATACAGTTATGAGGTTACAACCGTATATATTGATCTAAGTGCCTAAATAAAAAATTACATATCTATATAAGGAACAACAAAAATATCTTATTAGCGTGTTTTAGAAATATGTATGCAAAAATACAGCGCCATCTAGTTGTACTAGTATAAAACTATTTTGACTCGAACATACCGCCCACCAAGGACATAATGAAACAATGTCCTTTACAGTACTAAATATCCGCCCACCATGACAAAATGGGTTGAAGTTACATGTTTGTAATTAACTACTGAATAATACAGAGTATAAAAATATTGAACTATTAAACTTAAACACTAAATAAATGATAAATAAAACATTCTTTAACATACTAATCAACAACTGGTAATACACACAATTTAGATGTTGGTCTTTTTATAATTGAACTTTTTGTCTTTAATGTGACTACTCGGGTTATGTTGTCATCGCCAGGATGTTTTTGAATAATACGACCAAGTAACCATCGACTAGGAGGCATATCGCTTTCCTTGACAAGAACTATGTCTCCTAATTTAGGTTCAGGAACTTGAGAAGCCCATTTATATCTATGCAACAGTGTAGTCAAATATTCCTGGGACCATCTCCGCCAAAAATTTTGCAACATTTTTTGTATAGTCTGCCATCGAGTCAATGAAGAAATAGGTGAGTTCTCAAAATTAACATCTGGCACAGCTACTAGTGGTTCACCTACCAGAAAATGACCTGGAGTTAATGGCATAGGTTCTTCAGGATCATTGCCATTTATAATAGTCATTGGCCTAGAATTTAGACACGCCTCAATTTGACTGAGCAGTGTACTCATCTCTTCATACGTCAACGTTGACTCTCCTATAACACTTTTTAAGTGAAATTTAGTGGAGCGCACCGCTGCTTCCCATAATCCACCAAAATTAGGCGCATGAGGGGGTATAAAATGCCATTTAGTACCTTCACATGCTATATTTTCTGCAACCTTTTGTTGTAAAACAAGTAACTCTTGTAATTCTCGAGCAGCACCAACAAAATTGGTGCCATTATCGCTCCATACTTGTGCACAGAGTCCACGTCTGGATGTGAAGCGCCTGAAGGCCGCTATAAAACCTTTCGTACTCATGTCACTGACGACTTCTAGATGTATCGCTCGAGTTGCCATACAGACAAACAAACAAATGTACCCCTTGTATGAATGATGACCCCTACCCTTCGATGTCCTAATATTTATGGGTCCTGCGTAATCAATACCAGTATGAAGAAAAGGTCTTGTAGGAGTACAACGTTCAGATGGGAGTGATCCCATTAGTTGGTTTGCCACCTTGTTTTTATGTTTTACACAAGCGATACATTTCTTGATGTGTCGTTTTACAAGACTCTTAACACCTACAATCCAATAGGCAGATCTTAAATAGTTTATCATCATTTGGATACCTCCATGCAGAGTTCTCTCATGTGAATCCTTTATTATAAGTTTGGTAAGATGCGATGCATGAGGTAAAATTATTGGATGTTTTGCATGTTCATCCAATGAAGACTTATGTAGTCGTCCATCAACTCTCATTATACCATATTCATCAATGTACGGACATAATGTATTAATTTTACTTCCCTTTACTTTTTTACTACCATTGCTCTTCAATTGTATATACTCTTCTTGAAACCACTTACTTTGACTATCCCTTATTAAACATTTTAAAGCTTCTTCTATTTCTTCCTTTTGTAAATACATAAATTTTTCACTTTTCTTATCCCTTTTCACTATTAAAAACCGTCTACAATAAGAAACTACTCTCAAAAGTTTCTTAAGGTTTGAAAATCTTGTCCATGGAGAATCCTCTATTATTGTTACATATGACTTAATTGTTTCTTCAATTTTTGTTTCGAAAGCCTTTGATCTATTGTACAATATTTCCTTTTCCCGTAAAAACTCTGGACCAGTCAACCAAAGCTTATTTTCTGCAAGTGCACTTGGTTGAATACCTCTCGAGGCACAATCAGCAGGGTTATTCTTCGATGATATATGAGCCCAATGAGATGAATCCAGTGTAGTTAAAATTTCCGATACACGGTTACCTACAAATGTCTTCCATCGACTAGGGTGACTGTTCAACCATGCCAGTACGACAGTGGAATCAGTCCACGCTCGTAAATTGGATTTCTCGACATTCATAGCCTCTGCTACTTCCACCAAGAGTCGAGCTAGCAAAACTGCGCCACAAAGCTCCAACCGTGGAATACTTACTTGCTTTATTGGCGACACCTTCGTTTTAGCTGCCAATAATGATACAGAAATGTCTCCGGTCTGACTAATTGTTCTTGTATATACAACTGCAGCATACGCTGCCTTTGATGCATCACAGAAACCGTGAAGTTCGACGTGATCACCAGGCTTCATGCCGAGCCACCTTGGAATACGCACATTGGTAAGTTGTGACAACTCACCACGGTAAGTCTCCCATTCTTGTAATAATATATCCGGGACTACATCATCCCAGTCTATACCCGAAAGCCACAATTTTTGTATAAATATCTTAGCTAAGATCACACTGGGTGCTACCCAACCTAGTGGATCAAACAACCTAGCAATGTCTGATATGATAGATCTTTTTGTTACAGATCCAGTATCCTGTTCTCCCGGCGGCAGTTTTACAGAGTACTTAAATTTATCATCACTGCGGCTCCAGGTAAGTCCTAATATTTTTGTTGTATCTATCATTATGTCCTTTTCTATTTTATTCTCTCTGATATCTTCCTCTTGATCCTCGCTGTCCTTCCTTTCTTTTTGTCCTTCATAAACTTCTATTTGCTCTAATAATTCCTTATTATTACTATTCCACTTTTGTAGTATAAATCCTCCGCTTTTTAATAAATTATTCATTTCCTTGTATAACTCCACTCCATCTTTCACTGTTGAACATCCCGTCATAAGATCGTCCATATAGAATGAATTCCTGACTATATTAGCTGCAATTTTGTACTTCTTTTCCTCATCTAGGGCAACTTGATGTAATGTTTTTACTGCTAAATATGGAGCAGATGCTGTTCCGAATGTTACTGTTACTAATTCATAATCTATAATTTCATTTTCAGGTTTATTTCTCCATACTATACGTTGATACGCAGCATCATCATCCGTTACTCTCACCTGGCGGTACATTTTTATTATGTCTGCTATTAAACCTATGTAGTGCATTCTCCAACGTATTATTATATGCCGTAAGTCTGACTGCAGTGTGGGTCCCACCATCAATGAATCGTTAAGCGACACTCCATTCTCATTTTTGCAGGACGCATCGAAGACGACACGCACCTTTGATGTCAACTTATCTTCTCTAATAACAGCGTGGTGTGGTAAGTAAACAGATTCATTTTCTTTTTCTTCTTTTTTTACAGGTCTCATGTGTCCTAATTGTATGTACTCCTTTATCACCTGTGTATACTTTTCTTTCAGCTTTTCGTCTTTTGATAATCTTCGTTCTAACGCTTTAAGTCTGTTCACAGCAATCGTTCGAGAGTTGCCGCCTACGCAGAGTGGATGTGAATCCCGAAAAGGTAAGTTTACTGTATAGCGACCATCCTGTGCTCTAGTTGTCGTTAGTGTATAATACTCTTCACATTTTTGTTCTTCTTCGCTTAATATTCTTTGTGTGCTCGTAGTTTGATCTTCTATTTCCCAGAATTTTTTTAGTAAATCATTTTCATTTACCTGTGCATGCATTACTGAAATTGTATTTGAACTAATATCCTGACTTGAACTTTCCGAATTAACTATGCCAGATAGGATCCACCCGAAAGTGGTGCACTGAGCGACAAGAGTTCCCATCGGTGCTCTTTTCACACCTTCCTTTATTATCTGACTATAGACATCTGCCCCTAATAAAATATCAATTTTATTGGGGCGGTTGAACTGCGGATCTGCCAATTTTATATTTTGGAGATCGCTCCATTCCATTTCTTCTAGTCTCTTCTCTGGTAAGTAAGAAGTTATGTTCTTTAATACGTATGCTTTGACCTTTATTTTAAAGTTACTATCAGTTAATGAGTGCAAAATAAGAGTAACCATATGCTTTGATATTATTGTCCTGTCTGCACTCAATCCCGATACTGTTCCCCTAACTGTACTCCTTTTTAAACGTAAATGTTGTACTGTGGCCTCCGTTACAAATGAGGCTTGGGAGCCTTGATCAAGCAAGGCCCGAACTACCTGCAAATCTCCTGTTTCAGACTGAGCTTTTATTAACGCAGTGGCTAATAAAACTTGCCTAGTTTTGATGATTTTATTTGTCGATAGACATGACACTATTGGAGCATTGTCTTCTGAAGAATTAACACCTTCAGAGGATGTGCTCTGTTGCGCTTCCTGACCTTGTGAACTATTATTTGAATCATCCTTTGGATGCAAAAGGTGTGGTGTCGTTTTTTACAGATACGACAATTGGTTGGTTTTTGACAATACTTAACCGAATAATTTCCACCTAGACAATTAAAACAAATATTATTATTTAAAACAAATTGACGCCTTTGATCTGACTCTTGTTTACTAAATTTTCTACAAAAACATAATTTGTGAGCTTCTGAACAAAACTCACAACTTAATCTGGCACTGCTAAATTTTTGTGTTGCCAACAAAACCTTAGGATGACCTAGTGTATGTGAACTACTATGCTGTGCCAATGCTCTTTTTGGTTCGATACATTCCAATGTTCGAAATCTGCCTTCAATAAATTCTTTAAATTGTGAAAAGGTTGGCAATTCCATGGAGTTGTCATTAGAAATCTTAAACTCCCACTGTTTCCTAGTTTCCTGATCGAGCTTAAATGATACGATATGAATGATGATCAAATCCCAAGTACTCACATCAATATTCAAATTGTTTAATGCACCCAGACACTCAGAAGTTGTATCTAACATTTCTTTCAGAGCCGATGCTGATTCTGTTATAATGCGTTTTTGACCGAAAAACCGTTTTAGAATACAATTGGCTAGATATTTTTTATTATTATATCTATTTTCTAATGTGTCCCAACATTGTTGATAGTTTACATCACTAATTGGCACATGTCTTACAAGCTGTTCGGCTTCACCAGTGAGATGGCCCTTTAAGTAATGCATTTTCTGCACGTTATCTAAAGCATTATTTTGATGTACTAAAGAAATGAATAAATCGCGGAAGGTTACCCACTCAGAATATTTGCCTGAGAATAACGGAATCGAAATTTTGGGTAATTTCACTAATGAACCAGCGACATTGCCATCATCATTACAAGCTGGACGGGTTAAGGTTACTAATTTATTATTCACAGTTTTCATAAGTGTTTTACATTCCATATATGTTTCTTCCGTATTATAATAAATATCATTTTTTACATACACTGAATTTTCTAATTTATCGGAATCTGAAGTCTCAATCAATTTTGTATTATTTTTACGAAAGAGCACCCAATCTTTGTCTACATTCTCTGATCTAGTTTCTATATATTCTTTTGTAATTCTGTCCTTAGGGGACTTTTTAAAATTAACTAAAGCTCTTTCAATAGAACGTTGTAAATCTAACTGAACATTTATTAAAGCTTCCATGTTTTATACAAATTATTCTTACTATAAATTATCAATTGGTTACAATAATCAGTTTAAATTATGTAAACTCAAACCGAAACAAACAATAAAAAAAACTATAATATATCAAGGTTACTTCCAAAATAATCAATTAAAGATTGTATCTATATTGTTTATAAATCCGTGATAACACTATAAAACTTTTTTTAAAAAGTTGAAGATATTATCAAAATGAAAACATAAAACTTTCTTAGTTAATATCTCGTTTAAAATTAAGAACAATATATACTACATCTAAGAGAACTCGTAAAGTAAAAGTTAATTTTCCATACAGAAGTTATCGAAAATATTCTAAGTTCAAGACAAATCCTAAAATTTTACAAGTTAATATTTCATACAAAATTTATCAAAATTATTCTAAGTTCATGAAAAATCCGAAAATTTTACAAGTTAATATTCCATACAAAAATTATCAAAATTATTCTAAGTCCATGAAAAATCCTAAAAATTTTACAAGTGTTTTGACAATTTTCAACCTGGCTGAAATCGGGCATAGATTCCTCGTTCCGTCGTTTTTTCTTAAATTATTATAAGTGTCTACTAAATTACATGCAAATTATTCTATGTCCAAAACTGCTTGAAATTTTTCTATGTTTTTGATTTCTAATTAATATAGTTCAATTTTGCTTGGCAAATAAATAACAACAAATGTACTCACAATTGCACTTCACCAACACACACATGTATACTTGACTGATGTTTCACTGAAGATGATGCCCTGATGACGTCATGTACGACCAGCTCGTACATCCGCTGTACTTCCTCAGTGATGTCCTCGGTGTGGTGCGGGGGCTGCGGGGCGGGCTTCGCTGCAATAGTCGGCAGGGGGAAACACTTCCCGCCGATGACCTATGGTACCCCTTGAACAGCGGTCCACTGCCCGTCGAGTACGAATAAACCAAAAACCTGACCAAGCCGTATCAATCCGGCTCGAAGGACCATGTATAAAGTCGAGGTTCTGGAGATCAGGAGCGTTGTACTTATTGAATGAAATACAGTTATGAGGTTACAACCGTATATATTGATCTAAGTGCCTAAATAAAAAATTACATATCTATATAAGGAACAACAAAAATATCTTATTAGCGTGTTTTAGAAATATGTATGCAAAAATACAGCGCCATCTAGTTGTACTAGTATAAAACTATTTTGACTCGAATATTAGTAATGTAACTTTACCACGGAATAAAATAGACTATAATTTAGAGAGAGAATATAATTTAGAAGAGATATTATGTATGTAAATTGGGTGAAATGTAATGATAAATTTCAACTAAGTGTGATGCAGACGAAGTATGTAGTAAGTAAGACGAAGTATGAAAGTGGCACCGATGTCGGAGAGGTTAAAGAGTAATCGTCTATCGTGGTATGGGCATGTAATGCGTAGGAATGAAGATCATATCCTAAGGACGGTGTTACATATGAATGTGGATGGTTATAGGGGTAGAGAAAGACCGAAAAAGAGATGGACGGACTGTGTGAAAGATGATATGGTGAGAAAGGGAGTAAATAACGGAATGACTGCGAACAGAGATGAATGGAAGAGAAAAACATATTACGCCGATCCCAAATAAATGGGATAAGGAAGAAGCAGAAGATGACATGAAGACGAAGTTGCACGGGTCAGCTAGTATAATAATAATACACACAAACAAACATACAAACATACCCGTGCGTTCTACCACGAGCAAACACAAACACTCCATAACCACTCACAGGGGTTCGAACCTCGGCTCAGGCCGTCGTAATATCGATCCCTGATTGAATTGGACGGGGGATCGATCGAAGAGGCGACCGGGGGCACCAGTGTGGAGCGCCCGGGAGCGCGCTGTCGCCTGATTGATTGTGATCTTACTACACGTCATGCATCGGCAAAAATCATGAAATATCGTCAAAAGGGACGACGCCTTCCTCCATTGACAATATTTCGTGATTTTTCCTGAACCTTTCACCTTCTTTGGAGTCTCACGAGACTAATGCACAGTCCCTCGTCAGGATATCTCCAGTCCATTTGTTGGTGGTGTGGTTCGCGGGGACATGGTGGGTGTACTCGGGCTCCGGGCCCGTGTGGGGCGCCGTCACCGCAGAGAGCGCCGCGTGCCGTCACCGCTTGTGGGTGCACGCTCTCTACGCACACAACCTTCTACCTGCAGACTACTTCTGCCTTCTACCCACCTGGTATTACAGCTTTATCATTTATACATATAGTAACAAATTTAATAATTATAGTTGTCTAATATGGTCGAGTGCAATGATGGATGGCTCACCCATCATGCTCGTGAACGGATGCTATCTGTGGGGACTGGTCTTGTTACGAACACTGATTAGACTTTTTGCTTTTGCAACAGCATATGCTGATGGTCACTCTATTCTCCTAAATTTGAATTTAGAAATGAATCTATATTATTGTAAACACGTACAACGTTTATTTGAAAATAATACGAGCTGAGATACTTGTCAGCTCTTCTCATTCCGAACTGACGGTAGATTTGACATATCATAGGAGTCTGATCGGAGTGTCTATTTCCCAAAAGGACTCACAGAGAAGAAGTAACGGATCAAAAGTGACATACTAAAACAGATATCAAAAGTACAAAGTTTATAAAAAGAATGGTAGACAATCTGCCAGCAACTGTTGCTACTCGATTCACTGCTCTTCGTGAACGACCCTTACAGAAAGAAGCATTTACAGGTGGCAATCGACGCACCGCTCCTTGTAAATGGTAAATTAAATTTATTTTAAAGGAGCGGGAAGCTAATCCTATATTTTGTCAAGTTCAAGGTATCTAAAGTTTATTAACTTTATATTTTTCCCTGGAGATAATTATGGGACACAGTCACATAGATACATCAAAATAATAATTGCAATTAATAATGTCTAGTAAGACAAATTCAATATTGTCTATTAAGCACTGCCGTGTCTAAACTGTGTCACACCTTACATTTTCCTATTGTTATTTAGTATATAAGACCAATATTTCTATGTACATATTGTCAGTTTATTATCATCTGTAATATACATCGTCACGACCAACAACATAGTATCACTCACCCGCAACAATAATCCATGGGTAACTTTTGACTAATTAAACTGTTTTTGTTTTGGAAAACATAAATTTAATAAATATAAAAATCAAATGCAACAAAATTGCAAATTTTGTAATCTGAAAGATGCAGAATGATTAAGCGCAAAATATAAGTACACCTGTTTCTTGCAAACCAATGTTTGGAACAAAGATTTTCGAATGACGATCAAAGAACAAAGCTCCAATAAAAAGAGAAATGATGAGTTCTTATTTGACTGATGGACTTTGTTTTGTAACATAAAATATTGAAGACTTACAATCACTAGTACACGATGCATCTAATGAAATTGATGATCCGAAATAGTATCTAACCACAATCCTTACTTCTAGGTTCCTAGCAATGGACATGCAGTTGTATTTAGTGGCAGTAGTGCTAACGATTGTCCTGATACGACTCGGCCGCGATTCTGTCCGGATACTTGGCGTTTTGTTCTTGGCATCTTGTCTGTTGAACGCCGTACTCATTTATATCTTCGAGTGGAAGTCAATGCTGTATATAATGAACCCACAGTAAGTACCACTCTAGTAGCTTGCGATCTTTCTATTTCTCTATCTGTATTGCCTCATCTTCTATACTTATGATGTACATACCATAAATCCCTTGACAACTTTCTTCCTACATTATCTTTCATAATTTATAGCATGGCCTCGTACAAACCTATTTCAGAAATTCCAATTTGATTCACAATTTTCAATACGTCACCTATAATTTTATTAGTCAAGTCATTACTCGGTCTATGACAACCTCGATGGTCTAGCGGTCTAGCACACCGCTTTACGACCGATGGTCGCGGGTTCGATTCCTCGCACGGCACAAACATTTGTATTCTTGAGTATGATTGTTTGCATCGGTTTTTTTTTGTAAATACATACATATTATACATAGAAAATTGTATAATATATATGTATTTATAAAAAAAAACTATGTATATGTATCATGTAAGATGGCACCTGTATAAGATGATTACTTAGGCTTTGAAGCCGGCTACCGCAAGGGAAACCCCAAATAGCGTCCGTGACTTGAGACACGGGTGTAGGTTTAAAAAGCTCTTTTAGAATGCATTAATACTCGCCTTCACTACTTGCAGCTTCCCCCCAGGCCCAACTAAGACCGGGATGAACCCATTCCTAATACAATTCACTTTAGTATCCAAAACACAACCGGCACGCTCTGCACTCGTCGACGGAATGCCGCGGCTCACCCAACCAAAGAGGATTATTCAACTACCGACCTCCGTATTTATAAACCGAAGTTAGTGTAGTAGGGAGAGAAGCGGAGGTAACGGTTATCTTCTGACAAACAACGTGGTTCGGTCTATAAATACTAGATGGCGCTATTTACCAAATAGATCATATTAGATACTCAATTATATTCATAATCTTACAATCAGTTATCTAGTACCCATAACACAAACTTTAGATAGCTTAACTTGTGTCTAGATGGCGCTAAAAAGATACTCAGCCATAAACGAAATTAATTCATTTTTGCGGTATAATTAACTGTAGCATCTTTCCAATTTTCAGGAATACTCACACTAGATTCGTGGATGTACCATCGTTCCATCAGTTCTACATGTCGCCGTGGGGAAGCCTGCCGTCCAGTATTCTGGGCCTATTGGTTGCAAATATTTATTTCGAGCAACAAAACCAGGGATTTAAGGCAATTAAATGTAAGGTATGTAATTAATCCTTTAAACAATAAATAACATAGACATTTTAAGTAGTGTTTTCTCTCTGTAGGTGTTACATTACATAGTATAAAACAAAGTCGCTGTCGCTGTCTGTCCGTCCCTATGTATGCTTATATCTTTAAAACTACGCGACGGATTTTGAAGCGGTTTTTTTAATAGATAGAGTGATTCAAGAAAAAAGTTTATATATATATAATACATGTACACCCGTGCGAAGCCGGGGCGAGTAGTTAGTAAATAAATAAACAAAAACGCAACTTAAAAAGTCGCTTTTTTATGACATCAAACGAGAAGCAATGGTACTTACTACTGAATTGTTATTATTCATAAAAAAAGCAAATAGAGAAATGGAGCATACTAATCCAATTGTTATATTTAAAACACAATTTTTATTCTCATTTCATTTCATAAAGCTATTAAGAATAGAGAATGGAATGAGTATTTGCACACGACCTGGTCGCACGTCAAAGAACGTGTAAAGGCAACTATTAAGAATAGAGAATTGAATGAGAATTTGCACAAATTCATGATTGCGCGTGAAAGAACGTGTAAAGGCAACTATTAAGAATAGAGAATTGAATGAGAATTTTCACACGTTCCTGGTCACAAGTCAAAGAACGTGTAAAGGCAACTATTAAGAATAAAGAATTAAATGAGAATTTGCACACGTTTTTTAAAATCACTAGTATTCTGACGACTTAGGCGTAATGCCGGTTAGTCAGGGAGAGAAACACCTCAATGCCTACAATATTCACAATTACCTATCTCTTATTTGTTTTTATAATAATATCAACACTTTCGCTCCAAAACTCCCGCTGCCTACGTTCAATCATCCGTCATCCACTTGTCAATGTCACATAGATTACTTTGGCTCTGGCCTCTGACGTTCCGTTTCAGGTTACATGATATTGACTTTACCATTTTTAATTAATGGTGCGTCACACGATAGTTAACAGTCGGCCATCCTGCAATAGTGTCTGGCCCAGACACATAGGTAACTTATGAGCGTAGTCATGCTTATCAAAGGATATAGTGTCTACAGGATCATATAACAAATACTAAACTAAAGATACACATTACTTTCATAACATTGACTATCTTAGTATACTGTCCAAGGTTTACAATCTAAAATCAATACTAACAGAGCTAAGTTTCGGCATGCATTCAGAAATGCACAAAATATAACATAACATATATTAATTTACATAATCCAAATCACCCAAAAACATGAACAACCTTTTAGAGTAACAAACAATTATTTGGCGGTGATTGACTTCTATGAGTCAGACTGTAACATATCACCATCACAATGTAAGTTTCCGATCTTATGAACATTGCATTTTTTTTTTATACCTCCAAAATAGAACTTGACATTTCTCATCATGAATATTTTAACGGATAAATTTAACATATCACATTACAAAAGGTAAAACTTAATTACCTACATATATAGAAAAAAAATATAAAGAGAAAGTAATATTCTCGTGACATAAAATTAGAACAAAATCGCTGCCTGCCTTCACCTAACCAATAGAAAATAACAGGTCAATATTATTCAAGTGGTTCTAATACCCTCAATACAACTACTACTATTTTACTTCGACGATACTCTTGATTTACCAGAGAATTATTTTAATATAACATAATTCATTGAATTTCAGTTATGATTTACTTAATAATACCATCAGCTCACTGGTCAAGTAATCTATTGCACCCTTTGAACCCTGTACATTTAGGGGACTATAAATGATTGTAGATACTGATCTCAATTTTCTTTACAACACCAGTTTAACATAAACCAAAACCCAATGTTCCAGATTAATGTGAAATAGAAATAATCTTTATTCAAATAAACTTAATATAAGCACTTTTGAGTAGTCAAGTTTTTTGAATCTATCGCTCATTCGGAACGCAGATTCATCACAAGAAGAACAAACAAGAACCCTGTGTGTTGCTCTTTTAAATAAATATTGATTTACTTATATTTAATTAACAACAAGGATTAGGCATGCGGCAATCAACATAAAAACCGCTACGCACTTAATCTCCGTTCGATCAGACAACATTGACAGCGCTATGAATTTCAAATTAGATATTTTCTAAAAAACACTGATTTATAAATGATGACATTTATAAATTCTTCAATTCTATAATAAGCCTCTTTTTTTTACAAAGAAAATATTTTATGACACATTTGATTTCTTTTTCTGGCAAATTGAGTACAGACTCTAGGAGTTCGTTGCAAAACCTTGCGCAATTTCCATAAAACGAATTACTAACTTTCGTCAAACGAACGTGAGTTTAGTAAGCCTACTATTCACTTTATATTTAATCGATGGTATTCGTAGCCACTTCGGCCATCCAACGTTATCGAAGGGCCTCATTCGATATTATCATAACAGTTAACATCGGGTAATATAATAAAATTAAAATCATATAAAATTTAGTTTGAGATAATTTACATACTTAAAATATGAAAGTTGCCACTGACAACTACACATTACATTTCAACATCATGACTTCAGTCTTTGTTATATTTTTCCGCCTTAAGTTGTTGTAATTTTTCACACCAGGTACTAGTCAGCATCTCTGCGAACACGGCTGCCTAGCTAATTAGTGAAATACCTGTTAAAACAAAACATTAAAAAAATGCCACCGCTTGCCCACTATGAGCTACGGTCTCAACAGATCTGGATTTTATTAGACTCAGCCACCGCTTGCCCGCACAAGGAGCTACGGCCTCAAACTGGTCAAATTCTCATTAGACTCAGCCACCGCTTGCCCACACAAGGAGCTACGGCCTCAAACTGGTCAGATTCTCATTAGACTCAGCCACCGCTTGCCGCCACAAGGAACTACGGTCTCCAACTGAAACACATCAAATATTTAACAACTGGTCATTTTCTCAATGAGGCATTCACCGCTTGCGCACACAAGGAGTTACGGCCTCCAACTAGTCATATTCTTTATGGTACTATGCTATTTTTACTTCAGCCTCAAGTGCTCTACATTGCAACTCAACTATGGGTTATATGTACTCCCATCAAATTTTACTATTACTTTTTATTCTATTACATTTCTTTAAGAACTGGATTTCCTGGTTCCATTTTACTATTTCTCCAACGCTTTAAAGGACATTATAACATTTAATCATAAGTTAATTCAATTTAATTATGTACCAAATTCGAATTATATATCTGGTTGATATATATCTATCAATTTCTGAACGAAGTTGCAATATATTACTACCACATACCCTACACCTATTATTATCTACCAAATCTTGAGTAGCATCAACAAAAAGCGAGTCGTTCGTTGTACGTCGCATTGAGCACACGCGGATCCCCATTTTCTCCGTGAACTAACGTATACGGAACCATCAGCCGCGATCTCAGCGCAATCATCTCATCAGTATATCATCAAATCTAAATCACCATCATTTACCTTAAAATCCATAAATCGTATTCATAGTCATATGATTATTATATTAATCTCATAATTTCATCAAAGTATTGCAAATCATTTTTCATTGTCATATCAACCGCCCGTTCTATTAGCCATTTTGCTCATAATTCAGCTTGTCATCGATTGTAACTCATCATTGTATCACTAGCATTCCTTAATCTTTCAGATCTATTCGTTCATGTACAACTCTTCACCGCGTATATTTACCGACTATTTTCCATCGAGGTGTATCAAATTTTACCTTGTGAACGTCCTTACTACAATCTTGCAGTGTAACTATCTTGTACACCTCGAGCGCTTTATTCATAATATTTCAAAAGTGTCTGTATACGGTGTCTGGGTTCTATAAATTAGCACCTCTTCTAATTTCCCATTAATTACAACACATTTTCTAAAATATTCTGCGTATTCGGCTGTAACTTTCTGCTTACTAGCAGACCATGTTATCAAGCCATTAGTTGTATTTAAATTCCCGACACATAAAATCAGTTCTGAAAGGATTAATTTCAATTTAAACTATTTAGTTAGTACAATAGTCAATCCGATTTCTCCAAAGGGCGTTCAGCCACACATACAAGTGCATATAGGTGCTCAGACTAATCTATGGAATCAAATGTCCAGCATTTGATTGCGTTGATCATTACTTATAAAAATTTTAACTTCCGTCGTCGTCAAAGACAACGCTTTAAATTTAATTCAATCTTATTTATCTGATGAATATCAACCAAATATTTGAAAACAACATCACCGTTATTATTATAAACTTCCAATATCTCTACACCTGTAATTTTGTACAATTCAACATTAAAACACCCTCACTTATTTAATACATCCGTTCTCGTATGCTATGCAAGTGACAACATCAATTCTTATATGTTGATGAGTTCACTATTAAAAGCCTTAGTTAACACTTTTATTTTACTTCAACTCAACAATTATGTCAAAAGTTACAATGGTCTAAATACCTAATACATCTAATACACCTACCTAAACACATCCAATCTCATATTCAAGTCAATTGAGTCAACATGTATACCAACAATTCTTACATGCTCGTTAATTTAGCATTATACGCTTCGATTATTCTCTTTTTTTTTTTAATCAATTAAAATCTTAATAGATACAATATCTCAAGATTTAACAAAGGTTAACTAGAAATTAATAAAATTGGCAAAACCATCTACAACAGTAATTTATAACTGTAAACTGTAATCCTTAACAATATTTAACTTTCTTATATCTTAACTTTCATTTATATCCTCTAGTAACTTTTCTTATATATTCTTTGTTTTTTTTTCTTTTAACTACCTGTGCTTCTTAAATTTGTATTCACTATAATACCATTATAATTAAAGAACAATGGCTCAGCTCGCTAACATTTTCTCAACAAATACTTCTCTGTAACATGTAAAACTTACAACTTAGACCATGCAGTATTTATTTTTCATTCTACATATATGCTATTCATAAAGTAGTTTATTATCCATCAGGAAACCATATAAAAATCTCCTAAATTACGCCAGTATCCATATTCATAAACCAGCTCGTCCATACTGACTATCCACGTCTCTCTCTCTCTCTCTCTATGGAAGTTTGCATCCAGTCTTTTCCTGGTGTTTCCTTTTTTTTTTTTCTTATGTCATCTGCTTATCTTTTTTTTCTGCTGTCCTATTTTTCTTTTGTCTGTCGTCTCTGCCATTTTCTTATATATATATATATATATATATATATATATTCTTTGGCTATCACTGGTCTCTTGGCTTATAAATTTTTCATTTCATTATATGGCGTCATACAATCCAATCAATCAGAATACTATTTAAATGTTAAATAGGCATTACTATATGTATTTATACCTGTACATATGATACAATCTTCTTTTGAATCATTGCTATTTATATTTTTTTTTTCTATAAATTATACTGATACTGTGCTTGTGAATCACTGTTCATCCCAACGGATACCAACATCTCACTTTCAATCTAAGTTACATTTGCAGTGATTAACTTGTGTTCACGAGATATTGAGGATTTTTCCTATTCTTCTTTTTTTTTTTTTACTTATATATTCCTGTCATAGCTATACCGAAATCGCCATGCACTGTCCTCTACAGTACAGTAGATTCACAGAAGATAATTGGAAGTGTGGCACAGTATAGGAGTGCTCTCATAAAATGAATCTTCATAAAACTGACTAACTTCAGTCTCATCCTCTTTGGTAACAAAGTTATGTTAAATAAAACAAACCACATGCTTATAAAGGCATAGCATAAAACACCAACAATCAGGAATTCTCATAAATATATAACGGTTGTATAGAATGGGAACGAATTTCCATGCATGGAAAGTTATGCAGCCTATTAATAACCACATTACCAAGGTCATCAGCAAAGTTTTCTAGAATATCCATATCTCTTTACTTTCCTAACAATCTTGTCTGCCTGTGTCTCATAATTTTCCTCTATAATAATTTTAAAGCTTATGTACTTTGAATATCTTAACATTGCCTCCCACAGAGACTATTTAATAATAACTAATTAATATACAGAAACTTCATTAGTCAAATCATAAAATATTTTATAATCCTGTAGTATACAAATACATAAAAGGTAAGTTACATAAACCATTTAAAAATAGTATCCAATTTTTCCTTTCTCCTCTATTTCACCATATCACAGTTTACATGTATTCACTTAATTCTCTCCCATCTGTCCATACCTATATACAACAAAAGAGTGCTATGCACTCATTTATTTCCATTTTCCTGCCATAATATCTGAATTATAAAGTTTATTATCCAAATTTCACAATTCTAGACCACACTGTTTGACACAATCCATGTGCTAACTTCAAGATGAGTTCATTATTAACTCATGAATGCTTTAAATCAGTTATTATCATCTTCTGATATACATTTATTTATATTAATATTCAATAATATATTCTATACATTCTATTTTTTTTTTTATCTGTACTTCACAAATATATAATACAATTTGAATTTAAACAATTATGATTTCATCATTGGTAGACATTTCAATTCCAATACAGATTTAACAATGAATCTGTCCACTTTATAGTTTCTTAGTACTGTCATTCTACAAATGACACTAAATAATAAAACTCAATGGATAACTTAAGCTCAGATCCTTGCAGCAAATCTTCAGTTCATTAGCTTATGCAGTACACAAGATTGGACAATATAGCAATACATTGCAATATATTACAATAGTCTATTTTCATTATTGTGATAACAATTGTCTTATGTTGTACATATTCAGCGACTCAATATATATATCCAAACATTCTGTATGTACACAAATATTAACTTATTTCCAAAAACTTTTATTCATATTCATAACACTAATAGTAAATTTAAAGACAAACTTGTTGCTCAAGTATTGTTTAGAAAATTCAACAGGTTTCTTGTACAATCAATAATACAATCAAGAGCCAACAACATTCATTTCTGGCTTTACCAAAAGCTTTTCTTTAGGTTAAAAGACAACTTCATAAATTATAAAACTAAACTAAAGTCAACAGGTCTTTTGTACAATCAAGACCCAACAACAACCATTTCTGGCTTTACCAAAAGCCTTTCTTTAGGTTAAAAGACAACTTCATAGTTTACAAAACTGAACCATGTAAGAATAGTCTTACCTGTAATCTATCACTTTCTAACATGTCACATATTAATTGGGTGCTTATAAATTCCAACAATCACTTACAAAACATTGTCTCAAATGACTAATGTACATAGCTACAGGTACCTGCACAGGACCTTTAAGTACCTTTATTGCTCAACAATGGCTGCTAAGGGCCATTCTAATGAATTTCAAGAGAAGCATCAAAGAAGTGAACCAATTGCTCAAACATATAATACATTCAATATGAGCATACATATAATATATAATTCCAGCATAATATGACACCTTTGAGGAATTGGATATCATCTCTAGGTGCTTTTTCAACACATTAATAATCAATATCATATTATTATGATAACCTCGAGGATCCTAATAGATCTCAATTGGATTTTATACTAATTAATAATTAAATAAGGAACTATTAATAATAATAGTTTACAGTTATTCGGTTTTTAACATTGGAGTTTACTACCAATTGTTAGCCATTGCTATATGATTATGATAACCTCGAGGATCCTAATAGATCTCAATTGGATTTTATATATATATAAATAAGGAACTATTAATAATAATAGTTTACAGTTATTCGGTTTTTAACATTGGAGTTTACTACCAATTGTTAGCCATTGCTATATATATATACATATATAGATATACATTTATAAAATTCAAAACACAACAAGAAATAAATATAATAATTGTACTATCAGAGTTAAGTACTATTTTCACTGAGAGCTTCACAGCTAATCCTGAGATAGCATCTAAAATGTCTTTAATATGTAATATTATGAAATATAACATGTTATGTAGCTTGTATCAGTTTATGTCAACAATATACTGTGTCTATCTATATTAATATGCTTTATTAATTCATTAATAAACACATATCAAAGTATCAACCCATATAATATATATATGACAGTATCTCAATTTGGGAATATAACCACAATCAAGACATATACCTGGACTATGCCTGTGATTGTCATTTATCTGAAATGGGATCATCAAACATATATGTGTACCTATGTAAAGAAATAATAACAATTCTTCAATTCAATTCACGTAGAACAAACACACAAAACTGAACAGCAAGTTTGACTAATTTACTGTGAATTAGCAACAAACTCAGCAATACCATTACACTGTTTATATGTATAACATGGTATGTGTTCTCATGTTCAACCTGTATGTCAACATAGTTGATGTAACTGTTTCTAATCTGTTGATATCCTATCATACTCTATCATAGGCATTAATAACATAACAATAGTTACTCTGTATTTTAAACTAATTAGATATCCATGTTGTTTTATACTTAATGTATTCATAATACTTCTTTCTTAGGTATATTGTATACCTCAATATCGTGCTACATGTCATGTCATTACTCTCGCAAGTTATCGTACATACTAAATCTATTTAATATGTAGAAAGCAATTCATCCAAAAGTTCAATAAAACAAGTGAGATACTGCGTTTAATGGTATGCGTGTTATTAACGTAAATTCACTTACCACAACTTCTAGTCAGAATTACCTTACGGTCGAATTTGTAGGCGGGATTGGTACCGCTTCTGAACTTTTAAAATCACTAGTATTCTGACGACTTAGGCGTAATGCCGGTTAGTCAGGGAGAGAAACACCTCAATGCCTACAATATTCACAATTACCTATCTCTTATTTGTTTTTATAATAATATCAACACTTTCGCTCCAAAACTCCCGCTGCCTACGTTCAATCATCCGTCATCCACTTGTCAATGTCACATAGATTACTTTGGCTCTGGCCTCTGACGTTCCGTTTCAGGTTACATGATATTGACTTTACCATTTTTAATTAATGGTGCGTCACACGATAGTTAACACGTTCCTGGTCACAAGTCAAAGAACGTGTAAAGGCAACTATTAAGAATAAAGAATTAAATGAGAATTTGCACTTTTTTTTTTATTCGGACTTCTCTAATGCTGTTGGCCGCAGCTGGCCTTTACAGCTTCAGCGGACGATAGGGGGCGAGTGCAGATGGCACTCCAAACCAAGGAAGGACTTATGGAGCGGCTGAAGGCCAAGTCCTGCCTGACGGATACGATATTAGTCTGAGGGCAGTCTACTAGGGGTTCGAACCTCGGCTCAGGCCGTCGTAATTTCGATCCCCGTTTGAATTGGACGAGGGATCGATCTTTGCACACGTTCCTGATCGCACATGAAAGAAAATGTATAGGCAGCTATTAAGAATAGAGAATTGAATGAGAATATATGATTTTATCATTATTCATGTTTTTATTTCAGTGGCTGGTGTGGTCCTACAAACTTAGTATACCAATGATGGTGGGACTGGCTTCTCTGGGCACCTACCTTGACCACTACACGTCTCCAATCGTCATCCTCGTGTACACGGCCCTCGAGCGACCAGTTTTTGTTCTCGTCTTTGCTATCTTCCTATTGGGCCTGTTCAATGACCTCGACGGTAAGTTCTCAACTGGTAGGGATATAAGCTCTTAAATAATATTATTATAAATAATAATATATAAGATGTCACTTCACTTCCTTTAAAAAAAATCCAGAGACTCGCTTAGTATTTATAAATTATGAATAATAATTTTTTTGCTCTATAGTCAGATATCCGCCATTTTGTAATAATTAATTCTTATTAAAAAGCGTTACAGCACGAACGTTCTCTTTATCTATATTTACATTCTTTCTTGCTTTAAAGCCTAATAGATGTTTTTACACGTGTAATTTAATAATCATGGGTGTGTAAATGTTAAAAGAGAACGAGAAAGACTGCGCTCAAACACGTTTGCGCGTCTTGGCTTTCTCGCGCTAAATATCACGCGCTCTTAATCGCTCAAGAAAGAACGTGTCGTGTAAAAGCAGGCTATTTATATACTCACTTCTCGCGTGAAAGCCTTTTTGCACGTGTAAGAGCGTCCGTGTATGAACAGCTTTTGTCTATATTTACATGCACAATGTTTTCTGCGTGAAAGTCTATTGGCGCGTGAAAGAACGTCCGTGTAAAGACAGCTTTTGTCTACATTTACATGCACAATGTTTTCTGCGTGAAAGTCTATTGGCGCGTTTTTTTTCGGACTACTCTAATGCTGTTGGCCGCAGCTGGCCTTTACAGCTTCACGGCGAGAGCAGTTACACTCCAAACCCGAGAAAGGACTTATGGAGCGGCTGAAGGCCAACTCTGAAACGAATACGACTTTAGTCTGAGGGCATCGCTAGGGTTTCGAACCTGTAGACCGTTGTAATTTCGATCCCCGTTTGAATTGGACGGGGGATCGATCGGAGGGGTATTGGCGCGTGAAAAAGCGTTCGTGAAAAGGCATGTTTTGTCAAGTGTGTACGGTTGTCTACATTTAAATGCACATTGTTTCTTGTATGAGAGCTGTTAGCGTCTGAAAGAGCGTTTATGTAAAGGCATGTTTTGTCAAGTGTGTACGGTTGTCTACATTTAAATGCACATTGTTTCTTGTATGAGAGCTGTTGGCGTCTGAAAGAGCGTTCATGTAAAGGCATGTTTTGTCAGGTGTGTACGGTTGTCTACATTTAAAAGCACATTGTTTCTTGCATGAGAGCTGTTGGCGTCTGAAAGAGCGTTCATGTAAAGGCATGTTTTGTCAGGTGTGTACGGTTGTCTACATTTAAAAGCACATTGTTTCTTGCATGAGAGCTGTTGGCGTCTGAAAGAGCGTTCATGTAAAGGCATGTTTTGTCAGGTGTGTACGGTTGTCTACATTTTTCCCACATTGTTTCTTGCATGAGAGCTGTTGGCGTCTGAAAGGGCGTTCGTGTAAAGGCATGTTTTGTCAGGTGTGTAGGGTTGTCTACATTTAAATGCACATTGTTTCTTGTATGAGAGCTGTTGGCGTCTGAAAGAGCGTTCATGTAAAGGCATGTTTTGTCAGATGTGTACAGCGCCGTGTTCTCGTGGGGAGGGTGGCGGTCGCTGGGCCGCGTGTCGCTGTCCGTGCTCACCATCCACTGGTGCGTGGGAATGATGTTGGTAGCCGCGCGACAACATACCATCACCTTCTCTATACCACAATTGGTGAGTGATTTATTTGTATTTTACGACACTTAAAAGAAGGTGCTCGGGATGGATGCGGTAGGTAGACCGTAAACGGTGGAAGGTATTGGGTGACGGTCATGGTGAAAGGCTGAACATATATTCAACAGTGGATAGATACCTGAAATGATAATAATGACTTTTATTGATCAGCGAAGTTATTTAAGTCAGTTAATCGTAAAAATGTTTGTTCAAAACTGGAAAGTAACGAAACTAAACAAAAAAACTGTATTTTCATTAAATGCATATGAGAGTATTAACGGTAATTTAAGAATCTATTTTTTATATGTATTATCTGTCTGTCTGTTTGTTCTTGCTAGTCTCTGAAACGGCTGGACCGATTTTGACAAAACTTTCACATATATATTCTTGATGGTTTTTATAATTTTTTATTTGCACTTTTGCATAAAACTATGAATATATGTTTGTGTAATGCATTTCAGTTGGTGGATGCGATAGCGACAGTCGTTATCACATACTTGATATCAGTTCCGGTCACGGTGCTGGTGGAAATGCCGGTGCACAGGTTCTTTGCTGCTCTCGTATGACACACCAAAAGAAGAGAATACCTAATGTAGAGTATATATATATATATATATATATATATATATATATATTACGATGTATTCTTCAGAGGAGGATATATATATATATATATCTCCTCTGAAGAATACATCGTAAAATTTACAACTGCCCTCGTACGACACAACAAAATGAGAAAATACCTAATCTAAACATATATAACTCAAAGGTGACTGACATAGTGATCTATCAACGCACAGCCCAAACCACTGGACGGATCGGGCTGAAATTTGGCATGCAGGTAGATGTTATGACGTAGGCATCCGCTAAGAAATGATTTTGATTAATTCTACCCCCAAAGGGATAAAATAGGGGATGAAATTTTATATGAAACTTTGTCAATTTAAACCGATCGGGCTGAGACTTTGCATGCATAAAGCTACTATGACATAGGCATCCTCTAAGAAAGGGTTTTGGTATATCCACCCCCAAGGGGACAAATTAACGCGAACGAAGCCGCGGGCAAAAGCTAGTTTATTGTAATATGTCTTAAGAAAACATTGTAAAATTTATAACTGCCCTCATATGACACAGCAAAATGAGAAAATACCTGATGTATTGTAATATATCTGAAGAAAATATTGTAAAATTTACAAGAGATCACGGCAGCATGTCATGCCCATGACATGCCATGCCATTCGTTGCCATTCCCGGGAACTGTGTCATATATATCTTATTATTATTATTAATATTATAAACGCGAAAGGTTGTGAGTATGGATGGATGTATGTTACCCTTTCACGCTAAAACTACTGAACGGATTTTGTTGAAACTTTACAGTAATATAGCTCATACATCAGAATAACATCGTCGGTTAAATAGAAAAACGGCAGTTTTCAAGAAATACTTTTTTGATTTATTTTAATTTATTTAAATTATTTTTTCCTCTAACGTTTTAAATTTACACATAAGTTTTATATATCATTTTAAAAGTATTTACATAATGATTAAGACGGCGTGGTTAATCTAATTACTTATATAAAAGGATATTCTAGCTTCTAATTTTCAAAATAGTCATTTTTCTATTTAATCGATGACATATAGGCTGTAAATTTTACGCGGGTGAAATCACGGGTACATCTAGTATTAGATAATTTTTATTTTTGAAACAATTGGCTCTTATAGAGTAGAGTTAGTCTCGGTAGTCTAGCTGACGGCCTTAATTCTGATTCGAACGGTAAAAACTTTTGTATTAATGAGTATGATTGTATAGGTCTAGGTGTTTTCTATGTATATTATGTAGGGATAAAAAAAAATTTTATGTGAATTGTTAAAAAATGGTTATACCTGAGCCTGTATTGCAGAAGTACATTAATTAATTATTAGATAACTGTTATAGATCAGTGAGATGCTATCTGCATTGGAAATAGGAATGAAAAAGAATTCCGCAATATAACACCCAATTCTAATGCTGTTGGCCTTTACAGCTTCACCGGACGATAGGGGGCGAGTGCAGATGGCACTCCAAACCAAAGGAAGGACTTATGGAGCGGCTGAAGGCCAACTCCCGCCTGACGGATACGACTATAGTCTGAGCGCACCGCTAGGGGTTCGAACCTCAGCTCAGGCTGTTGTAATTTCGATCCCCGTTTGAATTGGACGGGGTTCGATCGGAGGGGCTGTCTATGTGGGTTTTGTATTATCTATTTCTGTAAGCAGGTGGTTTTGTTATCTTTGTTTATAAGTACTAATAAATATATTAATATATCTAGATATTTTAAGTAGATTTGTTTTTGAATGACTGATGTTATGTACCTATACTTGTCCTAAAAATTATATATTATTTATTGTAAATAAAATGGAATAATGACAAAAATGTTATAATAAATTGTTCGAATATAAGTAGCGAAAATATATTTTTTTTATTTTTGACAATTGTTTAATTATATTGTGTGTCCATATATCATGTAAGATAGCCTCTAAACTAGGGTTCATGATTTCTCGAGCTTTTCAATTTCTCGGGTCTCGAGAATTCTCGAGGTTAATTTCTCGGGTCTTCTCGGGTTGTCGAGAAATTTACATTTACGTACATTTTCTCATATTATTTGGTTCCAATAACTTCAAAAAACTCAGTGGTTTCATTTGAGACGAAAACCACTGCATTTTTTGTTAAATATTAAATATAAAATTTAACTATAAAATTAATTATAAAACTTTTATTGAGTAGGTATATTTAAAAACATTATACATATTATGAATAAGCAATTTTGTTTTTAAATACTGAAATATATTAGGTTCTTACATATGAAATTAGCGTTTTGTCGTATTGGCCACTTTGATCTTAAATAACTCCTCTTTGGTTAGGAATTTCCAATTTCAAATTTATACGGCTATTCACTCATGCATTTGTTTTTCGAAAACCGTAATACATACGCTTGGTTTTTTCTTTGGGTCACTCAGCTTACAAAATGCAAAACTTAAAATATCGCGTCATTTACAAGTACGAGTACGAGTTCCGCCATGGCACTAGTGCTGCAGAAACGGCTCGAAGGATTAATGATGTGTATGGTGGTGGTGTCGCAAAAGTAAACACAATGCATTTTTGGTTGCAACGTTTTCGTTCTGGAAATTCGAACCTACAAAACAATCCCCGTGGGCGGCTGGAGCCCAAGGTTGGTAATGAAGAATTGAAGGCTATTGTGATAGCAGATCCATCGCAAACCACGTCCGAGTTAGTTGCAGGGTGCGGTGTTAGTGACAAAACTGTATTAATCCACTTGTAGCAAATTGGGAGGGTGAAAAAGCTTGAAAGGTGGGTCCCTCATGAATTGAGTGGACAATTCGCGTTTCGATCGACAAACGCGCGTAGACTCCTGCGTTACATTAGTCGACCGGCATAATAATAAAGGGATTTTAAATCGAATCATTACCTTTGATGATGTGGATTTTGTATGATAATTGGAAACGCTCATCGCAATGGCTGAACCCTGGCAAACCAACCAAATCCTGCCCCAAGCGAAAATTGACCCAAAAAAAGTTACTTGCGAGCGTTTAGTGGACTAGTTCCGGTGTTGTTCACTTCAGCTTTCTTAAATCTGGCCAGATGATTACGGCTATGTGTTTTGTCAGTAATTGAGAAACCATACTGCTTCAGGACAACGCTAGTCCACACACTGCACAACTGACATTTACCAAATTAGAAGAGATTCAATTGTAATGTCTAAGACTTCACAATTGCTCCCCGGACCTTGCTCCAACAGATTACCATTTTTTTAGAAATTTGGATAACTGATTAGGACAAAATTCAAATCCGGGGCAGTCCAAAGTCGAAAGATTTTATTGATATGTCCAAATGTTCCCGTTCAAATGTTTTTTTCAGTAAAGGGATCAATGAAGTACCTATGAGATGGCGAAAGTGCATAAATAGCAATGGTACATAGTTTGATGAAATAAACATGTTATATTTTGAAAAAACATACTTCAGGTTACTCCCTTACAAAACACCACTTTCATATGTTAGGACCTAATATTATTCAGACTTATATTTATAATGACAATGACATTTTTGGCTGGTTATTTAGAAAAAATCTACCTTAAACTTGTAAACAAAAATAGTTTCTGTAAAACAAAAAAAAATACATGAAAGAAAACCTTAATATCTTGAATTATTACGCCGCCACGCATTACAACAAACAGTAATTTAATTTCTATATCAGTACTTGATTTCTCGAGTTCTCGACTTTTCTCGAGCTTGATTTCCCGGGAACAAAACCCAACGATTTCCCGGGAATTCTCGACCCGAGAATTCCCGGGAATGAACCCTACTCTAAACTAAAGTAAAAAGCATTAAACATGAGTACGTAGTCGTTGTCCTCGGGTTCTGTAACTTTTATAACTAAGTTTAGAAAAATTAGTTTTAAATTATTTTATGTTACTGGATAAGATGACGGTCCACCTTATGGTAAAAATGACACGTGTGCCGACCTACCTGATGGAATATAGCAAACAAGCTGCCGGCTCAAATTACGGTAAGTGGCAAACAATCTGACGGTCCATCTGATGGATTGTAACAAACAATCTGACAGTCCATCTGATGGATTGTATCAAACAGCACGACCGTCCAACTGATGGACTGTAACAATGAATCAGACGGTATATCTGATGGATTGTAACAATCAATCTGACGGTATATCTGTTGGATCGTAACAATCAATCTGACGGTATATCTGATGGATTGCAACAAACAATCTGACAGTCAATCTGATGGATTGTAACAAACTACACGACCGTTCATCTGATGGATTGTAACAAACAATCTGACAGTATATCTGATGGATTGTAACAAACAATCTGAAGGTCCATCTGATGGATTGAAACAAACAATCTGACGGTATATCTGATGGATTGTAACAAACAATCTGACATTCCAACTGATGGATTGTAACAAACAATATGACAGTCCATCTGATGGATTGAAACAATTAATCTGAAGATCAATCTGATGGATTGTATCAAACAGCACGACCGTCCGACTGATGGATTATAACAAACAATCTGACGGTATATCTGGTGGATTGTAACAAACAATCTGACGATATATCTGATGGATTGTATCAAACAACACGACCTTCTAACTGATGGATTGTAACAAACAATCTGACGGTCCATCTGATGGATTGTATCAAATAATCTGACGGTCCAATTGATTGATTGTAACAAATAATCTGACAGTCTATCTGATGGATTGTAACAAACAATCTGACAGTCCAACTGATTGATTGAAACAAATAATCTGTCAGTCAGTCCATGTGATGGATTGTAACAAACAATCTGACAGTCCATCTGATGGATTGAAACAAACAATCTGACGGTATATCTGATGGATTGTAACAAACAATCTGACAGTCCATCTGATGGATTGTATCAAACAGCACGACCGTCCAACTGATGGACTGTAACAAACAATCTGACGGTATATCTGATGGATTGTAACAATGAATCAGACGGTATATCTGATGGTATATCT